AATGAAACTTTTAATATGTTAAGCAGTATAATCAATACAAGAATACCTGTGGAGAAATGACCAGGGTCTTTAAGTTAATGAACACACCGACATGTAGTATAGGGTAGGGCTGTTTGGAGCAGTTGAGCACTTTTAATGTCAATAGAGTTTGACAACAATTGATGGCCACGTCGTCCAATAGGTATTGAGCTTCGTTGGGCTCCAGGAGTAGCTCCCGTAGGGACAGGTATTGTAGGCCTAAACTCGAGTTGCATTGTAAACATAATAAATTAAATATTTTTTTATATTTAACATCACTTTAAAAATATATAATATATTAAGTCATTAATTAAACCGAAACGAGTGATGGATGAATTTGGTTTTGAATGACATTTAGAAACATTTTTAATGCCTTTTATAATTTTATTCACAACTTAAATAATTTATTCAAATATTAATGGTTGCTAGTGAAGGTCATTATTATTGGCAAATTGTATTTAATTTTAGATAATTTCAATGTAAATATGAATTTCATTATTCAAAACTATCATCATAAAAGAGTTGTATACTATAAATATGTTTGCACAAAATGTCACGAAATTAATATTGAATATAATCGCTTTTTGGTGTTAAATATTGATGATATTAATATTAANCATTATTATTGGCAAATTGTATTTAATTTTAGATAATTTCAATGTAAATATGAATTTCATTATTCAAAACTATCATCATAAAAGAGTTGTATACTATAAATATGTTTGCACAAAATGTCACGAAATTAATATTGAATATAATCGCTTTTTGGTGTTAAATATTGATGATATTAATATTAATTCTGTTATTTATAGTCTTAAAAGACTATTATTATTGTGTAATTCATATAATTTTTAAAAATGATTTTATCTCAACTAGAGTGTAGTTTTAACTAAAGTGTATAATCTTAAATTAATAGTGGATTATTAGTAGGATTTTAAATAATATCAAGGTCACCGTTTGGTATGTTTACTACAATATTAATGAAGTAATGTAAAAATAACACTAGATCAATATTTTATTTATTAATAGAAATTTTTATCATGTGAAAAGTGGGATGTATAATGTTATACTGTATTTCCGGCATAAAATGCTCTTTATTAATAAATTATACATTATTTCTAGAATAATTCCCTAATATACAGTATTAAATAGGTAAATCTTAGTCGCCTCACTTGAATTGCTTTCATATTTTTATTTTTATTAAATATTTAGCAAAAATAGATTTATATTAATAGATAGGAAATTAATTTTCTTGGTAAATCCAAGCTTTTAACAAATTACTAATTTTACAATAATTTAATTAATATAAATTTAAGAAAATATTAGAAATAGCTAGTATTTATTTTAAATGTTATTGCCAAATTATATGATCAAATAATCTTTATACAAAATAAAAATCTCTCAAAGGGTGACAAAAAATATTTAATTTCGACTTATATTTTGAAAATGATATTTATTTTTGAAATTGAAAAAAGTAAATTTATTTTGTTGAAGTTATTGGAAAAGCAATTCTAGATATTTAATAAAAGTTACTGTACAGTATATAACACTACTGTATCATTGATTTAAAATTCTTTGTTTAGTTACGACAATACAGTTAACTGTAGGACTATTACACTTTTATATTACTAAAACTATTCAAACATTTATTATGTGATAAATACTTGAATTAAATCTATATTTAAATTTTATTCAATGAAATCAAATCAAATAGACAAAGAATATATCATTTCGTAATTAATTATATATTAAATAAATGTCTTTCAACTGATCAAAAGAAATGATAAAATACTTGTAGTCGTTTTGAAAGTATTTTTAGTATATTGCATTTAATATTGAATGCAATATAACATAATATATGACACAATCTAAGCGTTAAGTAATAACTGACTGAAAGAAAATTATTTATACTAGTGTTACATTTGATTAAAAGTTTATTTTTGTGTCAAATTACACTCCGAGTGCAGTATACCGGTGATGCCAATATAATATACTGTATCTCAATCTTTTCATTAATATCATGTGTTTATCATTACTTTAATAAATGATAACTAATTTTATTTGTGAAGCGATTAAATAAGATATGATATTATGTTATACTGTATGATATTACGGTTTAATTGATATTGTTGGTCGAGATAATTGTAATACTAAAGAGTTTATTACAATAAATGGAATACCGCTTAAGTTTTTCATGAGTCTCATCAGTGACTGCAGGAGTTTACCTCCGGTGCCGAAAACGGTCTCTTCATTGCTACCCCTTTCCAACAGTTGATGACAAGAGAATGTGAAGTCCAGTGCATTCACTCTTTGCAATGGGTTTTGTGAATAGAATTCCGAAAAATATGACAATATTTTCATGAATTCGTATAAATTGAAAAGGTTTTCCATTGGTTTCACCACTATTTTGCGCAAATAAGTTCCCATTCGGTTCAGAAAAATCTGTTTAAT